TTGGTCCCCTCAGGTGAACCTCCACAGACCCCAGATGAAAATCTCCTTATCCACCTGGCTGTCTTGAGAGTGTCGCGCACCAATCAAAGTGGTTGTAAAGGCTGAAGGCTTTTTACCGTCTTGCATTCTATGCATGAAGGTAAAAAGCCTTCTGTGTGCAGCAGTGCCCCCAGCCCCCTCAACACTTACCTAAACCTTATCGCGATCCATATGAATGACAGCCTCTGCTTCTCTGGGTCTCTGCCTCCTCATTGACTGAGACAGCAAGCGGGAGCTATTGGCCCCTGCTGCTGTCAATCACAGCCAGTCAGCCAATGAGGAGATAGGGGGCGGGGCAAAGCCACGGCTCTGTATGTGAATGGACATGAGGAGTAGTGAGTGCCCCCACAGCAAGCTGCTTGCTATGGGGTCACCCAACAGACAGGAGGAGCCAGGAGAACCTGTGGAGGACCAGAGAAGAGGAGGATCTAGGCTGCTGTGTGCAAAACCACTGCACAGAGCAGGTAAGTATAGACATGTTTGTTATTTAAAAAAAAAAAATGAACCTTTAGTATCGCTTTACATGGTCCCAGGGAGAACTAGTAGGATATTGTACCTGACAGCCCTCTCCTTTCTTTGGCCCATGGGGGTGTAGAAGTACTCACACTGTCCTGTTCGTGTAGCTAAATGGGTTGAAGCTGCTTTCAGGCCTTTCACTGGGCTGGCTCCTTCCCTGCTTACAGGCTGTCTCTCCTAAGTAGATTGTGGAACAGTGGAGGTCCTTCTGTCCAGCTTCAGCTTCATTCCATCTTCCACTTGACTCTCCTGTTGATCAGGCTCTTGCATATTTAAGGGCAGACCTAGCTACCATGCCAGGTCCCCTGTCTGGTGATTGGTCAGATTCCATCAAACATGCAAATTCAGGCCTCCTCCTCCCCTCCTCCGCCCCTCTTCTAAAAAGTTCCAGGAGTTTCTAGAAGGGTGGGAGGGCTCCAGAAGCCCTGACCTGTAGAGCCCCCCACCCTTACCTGAAGTGACCTTGTTGACTTACTCCTAGGCTTCTAGCAAGCCTCTAACTAAACACAAAAATCTACCTAAACTAGAGGGTGCTACTTATGGCTTTATGAAACAGCATGATTTTCACGGACAGCCTCAGGGACAGTTTACAATGGCACCACATATTTCACTGTGGAAATTATTTTTTTTTCTTTTGAAAGTAGCTTACATACAGCAGCACCCAAATCTGATTTATTTCAGTTATTTAAAAAAAAATATTTCAGGTAGACTTTTCAGTGACATGTTTAACTGAGGACATCATTGTTTTTCAGCTGTTCTCCCACCCATGTATAATGTCCAGTTCTTGGCAAGGTTGAAAAGTCCTCTGTGAAGACTGGTCTCCTTCCTCCTCCCTTCTAGCCTCCAACACTCCTCTTTCTGGGCCCAATAACGGCAGCATGTGGCTGTACTAGAACACATGCAGAAGCCGATGTTATCTCCAGACTAGGTCTGCACAGCTCAGCAGTGTGGCTCTTTATCAATGTTTCTGCTGCCAACAGTACTCTTGTGATCAGCAGTTTCTATCTGCAAGCGAATAAGTGATTGTTTTGCTATGGGGTTTATTTTCTTTTAAAACAAGCATAGACTTGGAACCTGATAACAACTTTTACTTTTCAGACGGCTCAGGAACATTATCATTTTATAGTCATCTAAGGCTGGCCATACATTATACAATTTTCTTGAGACTTTTGCTTTAGAATTACCAAAAACCATATAATATGAAGTCAAACCTAAACAACGATTTCAATTGTATCCAATAAGGCAGGTCCTTGCACTACATAGATGAAGGTAAATCTAAAGGAAATTGGGCAAAAATTGGACAGAAAAATGTTAACAATTCTGGTGGTTAAAAAGAACTCTACAGTAATTGCTATTATTGATAAGGCTTTCTTTTTTTGGTTTATTTATGGGATAAAACCTTGTTTTGTAACAAAAGCTAAAAAAGAGGGGACAGGACAAAACTCTTTTAGCCTGAATAGGCCTCAAATTCAGAGACACAGATAAGAAGTTTTCCTGCAATACAAATGATAGCTTTGCAGCTGGAACACAGCTGTTAATAAAAAAAAAATCCCAGTGAGAAGACAACAGGCTTTTAGGGTGCATCCTTTTACCAGCAAGTTTTTTTAGTAGCTGTGTCCAGGGGCGGACTGACAACTCATGGGGCCCCCGGGCAATAGGGGATCATGGGGCCCCTGTGTCCTTGCCCAAACTCAAAAAAGCCTATGAAAAAGGTACCAGGGGCATCTCATGGGGCCCCCTACTGACCCCAGGCCCTCGGGCAGTGCCCGAGTTTCCGAATGGTCAGTCCGTCCCTGGCTGTGTCTCAGCTGCAAAGCTATAATTTGTATTGCAGGAAAACTCCTCCTGAAACGTCTTTAAATTTTAGGTGTGTTCAGTGTAAGAATGCAATGACACCTAGGAATGCACCCTGTTGGTGTTTACGTGTGAAAACCCCAGCGGGGGTTCCCAGGATTAGCTGTGAGTAGGAAACCCCATTGAAGTCAATAGGAATCTGCTGGCTATCGCAACTAATTGCGCCCACTCGCATGTAATCTCTTATGCTGCAATCACATGCAAGTGATGGCCTGGGCACAGGCAGTCTGCATCCCAGGCTGCATGTGATAGCAGCATTAGAGATCACATGCGAGTGGGTGTAATTAGCTGCGAGAGCCCACAGCCTCCTACTGCTTTCAAAGGGGGTGCCTACTTGCAACTAATCGCAGGAATCCCCGGCGGGGTTCTCGCATGCAATCGTCAGCAGGATGCATTCGCAGGTGTGAATGCACCCTTACACTGAACAGACCTCAAACTCAAAGACGTGTCAGGAGTTTTGCTGCAATACAAATTTTAACTTTGCAGCCGAGACACAGCTATTAAGAAAATCTGCTCGTAAGAGGATGTTTTTTTTTCTAAAATGGACTTCAAATTCAGAGACACAAAGTGGGAGTTTTCTTGCAAGTGAAAGGAAAAGAAAGAGGAGAGGTGCCAAGAGGTTGTCATGTTGGCAGCAACTATATTGAAAAGAATTTAAAAATTCAGTGGTTGTTTTTAATTCTCTTACAACCCAGGCCTGATTTTATTTTCATAAAAGTCAACCATTCAGTTCAGGAGGACGTCCTACTGTATCTGTAAAGGTCCTCTCAGACATCACACTTGCAGTAGAGCAGAACCGTATCTCCAGAGAGTATTGGGCAAACTCAGCTAAATGGCCATTCCAGGACACCCAGTAATACGTGGATCCTGCTCACTTTTTAGCATTTCAATATCAGTTCTGTGATTATAAAGTTCAGGTGCTGCCAATGCTTGGCACCAATAATTGGGTCTGACTGCTGTGACTTGGAAATCTGTGCAAAGCTAAGCTGAAGCTGCTGCTTTTCCCTTGGATATGTCAGCAGTGGAGAAGCATTGGTTACTAGAGGGATTTCTGCAACAACAAGGCACTTATTATTATTAATATTATTATTATACAGGATTTATATAGCGCTGACAGTTTGCTCAGCGCTCCTTGGAGCTTACAATCTAAGACTTTCAAAGCACTTCAAAGTAACACATTTTGTGTTCCTTGTGGAATGTCGGCAGGAGATCAGTCACTTTGGGTCCTCAGACATTGGGCATTTGTGGCATTTGGGTTCATGATCCAATGCATAATGACTAGGCAAGAATCCACTAATTCAGGTGATCAAGGAGAGTGGTCACTATTGAGAGTCCATGGTTTTGAATGTGCCCTTTAAAAACCCACCAAAAAGTGGTTGTTTTCATCTCATATAGGTTATAGGGATGCTGGCACTTCCTGTAATCACACCCATTTCCTCTCTTGTAGTAGTTAATGACATTTGCTTAGGCTTGTTCTGTAATGTTGAAGGTATTTCACCGCTCTTCCAAGTGGCTTTTCCAAGTGGCTTTCTCAGTTTTATGAATATCAGGAACATACCCCATGTCGACAGCCTCACAGATAACTCAATGTCTTTATTTCAGTCGCCATGGAATGTCAAGGCAGATGATAACTGTTAACAAACATTATGAGAAGTGTGAAAGTGGTTCTCACGCAGGTGTTAACTGTTCAATTGACATGGCTGAAGGTTTGAACTCTTGTCAAATTGTAAAGGTAAAAATGTTAAAGTGGACCTGAGCTCAAAAAGTGAAGATTTGCTATGTTATAAGGAACATCTAGAAATGTTAATTGTGCCTAACAGGTACCTCATAGCTGGATATCTGTAATGTGAGATCTAAGGCACTGCTGCCTCTGACATTTATTTTTAGGAGATTTGAAGTGAGAGCTGACAATGCCATTATTGTGCCTGAGCTCTGACATGAGGAAGCAAAGTTCTGGCTCTAACAAGATGACCACCTACACGTAGAGGCACTGTAAAGGACAGAAGTTAGTATAGAGGAAAAGATCAGCTGCAATCTTTTTTAAATTTCTACTTTGACATGGCGAATTGGGTCAGAATTTAACATGCACAGTATGAATCTAATGGGATGAGGTTGGCAGCAAGACGGTGTCCACAACTCTGCGGAAGTCATGTGATGCTATGGTGTCAGCATGGATCAGATCCGTAAGGGACATTTTCAGAACCTTGAATCTATGCTGAGCAGAATTCAAGCTAGGTAAAAGGAACTGACACTCAGTACTAGATAGGTACACATGAAAAAGGGGTCTCTAGCTATAGATGTTATAGAGTAAAAATCTGGTTTATTCATCACACAAGTCTTTCGAGCAGCAGTCATCTACCACTACAGTCGCCCTCTTTCCGGAACAGCTCACACATAAGCCACATCAATATGAGAATGAGTTGAAAGGTCCCTGAATAGCATCAGGTGCTGAATATCTTGCCCATCTTAGTTAAAGGTAACTATAGCCTTTTAAAGATACACTACAATGCCAAAAGTATCTTCCAAATGATTGGATTCAGGTGTTTCAATCACCTCCATGGCCACGGGTTGTAGAAATCAAGCACCTAGGCATGCAGACTGCTTCTACAAACATTTATGAAAGAATGGGTCGCTCTCAGGACCTCAGTGAATTCAAGTGTGGTACCGTGATAGGTTGCCACCTGTGCAATAAGTCCATCTGTGAAATTTACTTGCTACTAAATATTCCATTGTCAACTGATAGTGGTATTATAACAAAGTGGAAGCACTTGGGAACAACAGCAACTCAGCCACAAAGTGGTAGGCCATGTACAATGACAGAGCGGGGTCAGCGCATGCTGAAGCGCACAGTGCGCAGAAGTCACCAACTGTCTGCAGAGTCAATAGCTAAAGACCTCCAAACTTTGTGTGGCCTTCAGATTAGCACAACAACAGTGCATAGAGATTTGTGGAATGGGTTTCCATGGCCGAGTAGCTGCATTGAAGCCTTACATCACCAAGTGCAATGTAAAGTGTTGGATGCAGTGGTGTAAAGCACGCCGCCATTGGACATGGCACAAGGGATGATCAGAATACAGTATGCTCCACAATTATCACAGTATGCTCCACCACAAATATCACAGATGCCACAAACATCCACTATCTCCTGCGCTCAAGGACTCCGATCAAAGGAAGATTATTTAAAGATAAAGTGTGTTCATCCAATGCTGATCAAAGGTTGTGCAGCTCTATCATTAAGCTGGGGAAGCTTGATAAAACTTTAGAAAGGGATAAAAGAAAGAGCGCACCAACCTTGCGCATTACCTCAGAAAATAGTGAATAATTTTATTAAAGAATTATACTCACAAGAGTAGCGATAAAACAGGCATAAAATAACCATAGCCAACACAGGGTTACAGGTCACGTACAAATTCCATCCGAAGGGGAGATACAATCTTTTTTGGAGCTAACGCGTTTTGAAGGCTGATCCCTTCTTCACCAGAGCTGGGTTTACCAGATAGAAACCCTCAATTAGGCAGAATTCCCATAGCTAGGAGGCATTCAGCCACTGAGTGTCGGTATTTCAGCCTGTTACTCTTGTGAGTATAATTCTTTAATAATATCACAGATGCTCCAGCATACATATTAGTTGCTCCACCATAAATATTACAGTATGCTCCACCATACTGCACCCCCCCCCACACACAAAACTCTGCACCCCCACACACACACTCCCCACACCCCCACACACAAACAACCCCCCCAACTACTCTCTCTCTCTCACAACTCACACCTGCTACACTATTGAGCGGCATCTGGCCGGTCTGCATCTGCTCTGACAGTGTCCATGCTGTCCGCTGCCTCCACTGCTTTCTCTGCCTACTCACATGCTCCTGGAAGTGATCGGCTGAAGGTGGGCTGGCATGGTCACCCTCGGCTGGCCATGCCTCCTCACTAATACTGGCCAATCATGTTATGAGGAAAGAACCACCTGACTTCCTAGAGGTGGAGTAGGGGAGTGGTCTGGGTGTGTCTATGCGGTCCATGTCAGCTGTCCGTGACAGATCCAAAAATTTGGGATTCTGCCCGGGACGAGCTTCCAGCGGGACATTGGTCCGATATTTGGGACTGTCCTGGGCAATTTGTGACTGTGGCCCTGCCCCCTTATGACATCATCGACCAGGGCATGCTGGGTTGGAGGTATTTTTTTTTGGGGGGGGAGGGGGGTTTGAATAAAGGACTTGTCAAACATTGGTTGTGTGCTTTTATTTACTTTGCACTTTACATTTTGGTGATTGAGTAGGGGTACTATGTTTTTAAATGTCAACAATTCTTTTGTTTACATTCTGCTGTCATGGGGGAAACCCCACTGACAGCAGACATGTCATGGTGGTTAAGTACGCGGCGGCCATCCGCTCCTCAACAACCATGATATTTACTGGCTGATAAGGATGCTGGCTGCCGCCTGCTGATTAACAACCATGTCGGCTATAGCCGATGGTGAAGTACCTCTAGCTTTCACTAGTAAAATACTGCATCACTTCATAAAATAGTTCACGTGGTATTTTAGTAGCATTTTTAGTGAATTACAAAAAAAGTTTGAAAAACACTAAGTGTTTGACCACAGTGGTTAACTGCTTCCAGTCCTCCCTATAGCAGAAATACTGCTACAGGGCAGCACAGGTGCGCAAAATCACGTATATATATATATACGTGACTTTGCATTACTGGGTAGGGGGTGCATGTGAACCACGCACGTGCTCTACCCACGCTGCCATTCGCGACCACGGCTGTCAATCACCGGGTCCTGGCTGGTAATTACTCACTGGCGCCCGGTGATTTCCGAAGATCTCTGACAAGGAGGAGGACTGCTTTGTTTACTAACAGTTCTCCTCCCTGTCAGCTCAGGCACACTGCTCTGGATGGCTGTGATTACAGTGAAGCACACTGACACCGCCTCCTAGTAACACACTCCCTGCACACAGTTAACTCTTTGATCGCTCCTCATGTTAACCCATTCCTGCCCAGTACCATTAGTATAGTGTCAGTGCTTTTTTTTTAGCACTGATCACTGTATTGGTGTCACTGGCACTGTATTGGTGTCACTGGGGATGTCTGCCACCAAGTCAGTTCCTCTCCAGTGTCAGAATGTCCGCTGCAGTCCCACTGTAAGTTGCTGATCACCGCCATTACTATTAAAAAATGTTTAAAAATCCCAGTATATACACCGCCATTTGTAAATGCTATAACTTTCACGTCAACCAATTAATTTACATGTACTGGGATTTTTTTTTAGCAGACATGTTGCAGAATACATTTTGGTGTAAATTTATGCTGAAATTTGATTTTTAATTTTTTTTACTGGACATGTTTAATAGCAAAAGGTCAAAAATATAGTTTTTTTTCTTAAAATTGTTGGTCTTTTTTTTGTTTATAGCGCAAAAAAAAAAAAAAAAAACCCGCAGAGGTAATCAAATACCACCAAAAGAAAGCTCCATTAGTGGTCAGGAAGGGGGATAAATCCTCTGGAGGGCAAGAGGTTAGTGAACTGAGCCCACTGTTCCAGAGTTGCTGGCTCAGGGATGTTTCCAGAGTGGGATCCCTCTGAAGCTGAATGTCCACATCTTTTAACATTAGAGGCTTACTTTGAGGAAGTTAGTTGTACTAGAAAGTGTTCTCATTTCAAGTTGTTTTAGTTGTGGAGTATCCCAAAGCTTACCTTATTTCTCATCCCAGTCCTTCAACCAATAAATTAAAAAACAACTGTAACCTGGTTATTGCTTGGAGAGACTGAAAACCTGCTGTGTGCCTGGCTGCCATGTACGCAATAGGGAATAGAAGCTGGGACAAACAGCGGGACCAGTCAGGTATCTGTGATACAGATATAGTATATTATTTTGTTATTGCTGTTGTTTATTGCCACCCTGTCACTGTACTGTCCCACCACTATATACTGCTCACTGACTGTCCCACCACTATATACTGCTCACTGACTGTCCCACCACTATATACTGCTCACTGACTGTCCCACCATTATATACTGCTCACTGACTGTCCCACCACTATATACTGCTCACTGTACTGTCCCACCACTATATACTGCTCACTGACTGTCCCACCACTATATACTGCTCACTGTACTGTCCCACCACTATATGCTGCTCACTTACTGTCCCACCACTATATACTGCTCACTGACTGTCCCACCACTATATACTGCTCACTGACTGTCCCACCACTATATACTGCTCACTGACTGTCCCGCCACTATATACTGCTCTCTGACTGTCCCACCACTATATACTGCTCACTGACTGTCCCACCACTATATACTGCTCACTGACTGTCCCACCACTATATACTGCTCACTGACTGTCCCGCCACTATATACTGCTCACTGACTGTCCCACCACTATATACTGCTTACTGACTGTCCCGCCACTACAGTTGCAAGAAAAAGTATGTGAACCCCTTGGGATTACGTGGAGTTTTGCATTAATTGGGCATAAAATGTGCTCTGAATGTTATCTAAGTCACAACAATAGAAGAAACACAGTCTGCTGAACATAATACTACACAAACATTAGATGTTGCCATGGTTTAATTGCACATAACATGTAAACATTCACAGTGCAGGGAGGAAAAAGTATGTGAACCTTTGGACTTAATAACTGGTTGACCCTCCTTTGGCAGCAATAATCTCAATCAAACGTTTCCTGTAGTTGCAGATCAGACCTGCACAACAATCTGGAGTAATTTTGGACCACTCCTCTTCACAAAACTGTTTCAGTGTAGCAATATTCTTGGGATGTCTGGTGTGAATCGCTCTCTTAAGGTCATGCCACAGCATTTCAATCGGGTTGAGGTCAGGACTCTGACTGGGCCACTCCAGAAGGCGTATTCTGTGCTGTTGCAGCCATTGTTTTGTTGAATTACTTGTATGCTTTGGGTCATTGTCCTGTTGCATCACCCATCCTTTGCGGAGCTTTGGTTGGCGGACAGATGGTCGTATGTTTCCTGCAAAATGTCTTAATAAACTCTGGAATTCATTTTCCCATCAATGACAACAATCTGTCCAGGCCCTGAGACAGCAAAGCAGCCCCAAACCATGATGTTCCATCCGCCATGTTTTACAGTGGGGATGAGGTTTTGATGTTGGTGTGCTGTGCCTTTTTTTTCTCCACACATAGTGTTGTGTGTTCTTCCCAAACAACTCAATCTTGGTTTCATCTGTCCACAGTATATTTTGCCAGTAGTGCTGTGGAACATCCAGGTGCTCTTTTGCAAACTTCAAACATGCTGCAATATTCTTTTTGGACAGCAATGGCTTCCTCCGTGGTGTCCTCCCATGTACTCCATTCTTGTTTAATGTTTTCCTTATTGTAGATGTGTCAACAAAAATGTTAGCATGTGCCAGAGATTTCTGTAGGTCTTTAGCTGACACTCTGGGATTCTTCTTTACCTCATGCAGCATTCTGCGCTGTGCTCTTGCAGTCATTTTTACAGGACGACACGCCTAGGGAGAGTAGCAACAGTGCTAAACTTTCTCCATTCGTAGACAGTCTGTCTTAGCGTGGACACATGAACATCAAGGCTTTTGGAGATACTTTTGTAACCCTTTCCAGCTTCATGCAAGTCAACAATTCTTGATCGTAGGTCTTCTGAGAGCTCTTTTCTGCGAGGCATGGTTCACATCAGACAGTGCTTCTTGAAACCAGTAAACCCAAAACAGGTGTGTGTTTTTTAAGGGCAGGACAGCTGTCAGCAACACATCCAATATCATCACACTGATTGGAGTCAAGGTTGGCTCACTCCTGGCTCCAATTAGCTCTGGGAGAAGTCATTAAGCTAGGACCTCACATACTTTTTCCTCCCTGCACTGTGAATGTTTACATGTTATGTGCAATTAAACCATGGCAACATCTAACGTTTGTGTAGTATTATGTTCAGCAGACTGTGTTCTTCTATTGTTGTGACTTAGATGACG